ATCACAAAATATAGATTTGAACCTAATTTTTCTTACCTGGAGAATGATACCACAATGCCAAAAGTTCTGTCTCAAGCTTAGGTTAAGCCCAACAGATGGCATGTGCTGGACAGAGTCTCATTTACCAGACCTAGAGTTCACCCCTTTATAACTTTTATCAAGCTCCTCCTACATTACTCCTAAAATCATTCTCATTCAAGGATGTCACAGCTCCTCCCCTGTGGGTGTATATTCACTGTCAGTCAGTGACTGTACAACAATTGTTTGAATTCCCACGCTAGGATCTCCTGGTCAATTCATCTGACCAGAGCAAATAGGACAAGTCACACCTCCAGCCTACTTCACCTGTCATCACAATAAAATCAGACTTTATCAATTCTTCTCTGAACACTTACGGCTCACTATGTATAGTGACCGTCCGACTTGCCCTCGAGCTAGGTAACCTCAGGGGGAGATAATGGCAATTAGCCCTTGTTATCTGCTCCTGAAGGTCTGGCTAGAAGATAATTGGTATTCCAGGCGTTCCTGGGTGCCTTGAACACGCGACCATGATTTGGGAGGCTATCCAGACAAGCATGAGAGAACACAATTGCACGTAATATGGTTGGACTTAGCCAACGCCTACGGAACAGTCCCCCATAGGCTACTGTGGCGAGCCCTTCGCATGTTTCACGTACCGACACAGATCAATCAAATGATCGAGCAATATTTCTTTAAGTTCGCTTTGCGCTTCTCTACCTCGACGTTTACCACGAGGTGGACTGAGTTGCAGATTGGGATAGCTATGGGGTGTACGATCTCACCTATACTGTTTGTCATGGCAATGCAGATCATGTTAGACGGGGCGGGCGGCTACGGACAGGGCCTTCAAATTGGGGATCACTGGATGCCGCCATTACGTGCCTTTATGGATGGCACGACTATTATAACGGGCAGCGAGGAATCTGCCCGCACGATCCTGGAAAGATTGGACGCGGTGGTCCAATCAAGCGGAATGCAGTTCGATCGAGCGATGCAGGCTGATCGGGAAATTCAAGGTATGGTGTCTCCAATTATTGTTGATTCCAAAGCTCCTATGGCCACTGTTAGTCTACGAGGTGACGATGACTGCAGTGGAAACCATGGAGAAGAAAATCAACACAGCCTTGAGAAAGTGGATTGGTGCACCGCCTTGTCTGACCGACGTGGCTCTGTATTGTAAGCAGGCTAAGCTGGTACTCCCGTTCAAATCGATAACCGAAGAGTTTAAAGTCGGCAAGGTAAGGCTCGCCATGCTCCTGCGCGAGTCTTCAGACCCAAATGTCATCGCTGTCCAGCCCGCTCTAAAGACTGGCCAGAAGTGGAGGGTCCTCGATGCGATAGAATCTGCCCAGAATGCACTAAAATTGAAAGATATAATGGGATACACTCAAACCGACCGTCGAGGCCTAGGGCACGGGAAAGTCAATTGGTGGTCAAAGGCCTCAGCCAAAGTGCGCCGAGACATGGTAATACAAACGGTGAGGGACAACGAAAACGAGGTTCGTGTCCAGAAAGCAGCCCAGCAGCCGCAGCAGGGCAATTGGGTCAGCCTGGAGAGCGCATTGCCAAGAGTACTCACATAGGGTGAGATCTGGCGGATGACCCCGCTGCGACTGAGCTTTATCGTTCGTTCGGCGTACGATGTATTACCGTTAAATGGTCTGCGACCAATGATCCGACTTGCCCGTTGTGTAAATCGAAGCAAACTCTTGAGCACGTCCTGTCCGCGTGCAGGAAAGCCCTAGGTCAAGGCCGATATACCTGGCGACACAACAAGGTGCTAAAAGAGTTAGCAGCCGTTGTCGACCAGGCTAGAATGAGGGCTAACGCCAGAGCCAGTTCTAGTATCATCCCCATTCGTTTCCTCAAGGCTGGGCAGGTTCCAAAAGGTAAGGTCAACCAAAACGCATTCGCTCCATATGTGCTAGACTATGGTAGGGACTGGTTACTGGCGGTTGATCTGCCGGGCCATGAACGGTACCCCGAGTTAATTCGGAAGACCGGTCTGCGACCGGACATAGTCCTCCACTCTGCGCAAAAACGGCAGCTCATCCTGATTGAGTTGACCGTCCCGTATGAGTCGCGTATGGAGGAGAATCACACGTATACGCTCGAGAAATACAGTGATTTAGCAGCCGGTTTGAGAAGAAACGAGGTGTACACGGTACTGGTCTTTGCCGTCGAAGTGGGAGCGAGAGGCCTCGTTTCCACTTCGCTCTACAATGTGGTTAAAGAACTAGGATTGCGCGGTAATAAACGGAAACGAACACTCAAAAAACTGGGAGAGGTAGCCGAAAGGGCCTCTAGCTGGCTTTGGACGCAACGCAACAACGTAGGGGACGGGCCTTGGTGAGCTGGTCCGGGTGTCTAGTGGAAAAGGGTTTCTCACCCCTTGAAAGTCCATCGTGTCCGAATTGTCTGCCAGTGATCCTCTGCCACCTGCTAATAAAAGTCCAACATGTGTCCGGTAAACCAATCGTAAGCTTGTCGCATGGTCGTCCAGGCACGCTGACTGCTTTATTTAGGCTGCCGCGGCGATTTCTTATCTCACAGTACCTTCTGCGAAACCACCAAGTCGTCTTGTCTCTGGCCGAAAGAAAAACACCATCCGGTAATCTCGTGCAGCAGGGAACCAGCCCTGAGCTTCATGAACTCAGGTGGGCCCACCTCCGAATGCGTCTAGGAATCGTGGGCCGAAACGCGTGTCGACGAGGATAATTTCTACTGACGACTGGTAGATCCCTGCTGTACTTGCTCCCTGTGAGTGTATTCCTATCTGACACCAACAGATGGTGTGCAAATCTGCAGACAGTAAGTCTAAGCTTGGTCAGTCTTATCTCTGTACGTTAACACTTAACGTCTGGGGAAAAGTTTTAGTGTTGGAAATTCACCAACAGTCCAGAAGTATTAAATGTTTGTTCAGGTCGCCTACTTAGATTAAGGATGTACCCAAAACCATTTATTTCTGTATACTTCGAAACACAAAGGAATAAAAGTAGGTTAATGAAAGACATTCTGAATTCACCGAGCGTATTGTCACAATCAGGCAAAAATATCTCTAACAGAGAATACGAAGGGCTCTAAATAATGACAGATGCATGAACAAATGCTACAATGGTTGTGGATTTTAAAAAAAATGATTAAAATAACGTTAGGTAATTTAATAATTACTTTAAGTTAATTATAAAGCGGCAAAAACGGTCTCCTAGTGCAAACATATTGGATTTGAAGCAACAACAGTGATGCCACTAAACAATTTTTTTTAAACATGAGCTGTATTGCCAATCTTTGTGAGATTTCCTACACTTATAAAAAAATTAACGCAGAATTTAAAAATACACCACACATTGCGGTAATCAGGCTAATTAAGAAGATATTTACGAAATTACTTACCGTTATTGGATTTGAAGCGAAAACAGTGATGCCACTAAACAATTTTTTTAAACATGTGCTGTATTGCCAATCTTTTTGAAATTTCACACACTTATATAAAAATTAACGCAGAATTCAAATTTACAACACACATTGCGGTAATCTGGCTAAATAAAAAGATATTTACGAAATTACTTACCGTTATTCACTGCGTGCTGCCAAAAAAAAAATCGATTTATTTTATACGCGTCAAAACCATCTCAGGTCAAAGCTTGGCATCTCTCCAATAACTTCTAATAACTTTTCCGATTTTATCTTTCACGTAAAGAGCACAGAAAAATAATTTCTCAATAACAGACAATTGGTTTTCAAATTTTCGGGTCGCAATCGCGTCTATAGTAACCGACGAAAATGTATAGCAAAATAAACGAAACAAAACGATCCATTGCTATACCTAATTATCTCCCTTACAGTCCCGATTTTACACTCACAGACTACATTAATTTAAATGAATGAAACAAAATCTTCGCCGACATCACCTGGAGAACGCCAAGACCATTACAGGTGCCATACACCGATGGTTCTCCACTGAACAATTTTCAGATGCAGTACGCAGATATGACAAGAGAGCAAACACCAGAAGTTGTCTACGAGACAGATTTCAGATGCAGTACGCAGATATGACAAGAGAGCAAACAAGATCATTTATCCAATTTTATAAGAAATGGCCGCTGGAATTAAATCGGCCATGTACTCAGAATGCATAAGACCAACAGTCTGCTTACAAATGCGTTAAATCTGTAAAACAGATATGCAGGAAAACTCAAATTCTAGAACAAGACTAAAGACTAAATTGCAGAAGTGGACGATAAACAGATCTTTTCGCAGGAGTCTATGACCTTGAATGCGAATGAAGAAGAAGAAAAAGAAAACGAAGAAGAAGAAGAAGAAGAAGAAGAAGAAAAAGAAGAAGAAGAAGAAGAAGAAGAGAAAGAAGAAGAAGAAGAAGAAGAAGAAGAAGAAGAAGAAGAAGAAGAAGAAGAAGAAGAAGAAGAAGAAGAAGAAGAAGAAGAAGAAGAATGAGGAAAAAAAAAGAAGACGACGAACGAGACTGCACTCGGAGCATTCGTTCAATAATTTACACGATCTTCCCATTGCTCTGTGTTTATTAAACTGTTTCGACTTGGCTGCCCGCATCAGATACTAACAGGACATCCTCTTCAGATGGCCAGACCGCTTCATTTGTTGCCTTTTGTGTCCTTATATAGGCTCAGGAACCCTGTGTTTGGTGGTTGGGGGGGTGGGGGGGGGGGAATTAGACCCACTGCCGCCTAACAAGCATGTCGGTAAAGTCGACTAAATATGGATGTTTCCTTTGAAGTCGGAGTTCATCTGCCTGAGAGACAAGCAACCAAGGTCTGCATAGATGATGTACGCCAGATTTCTAAAACTGATATACACGCAAAACTCAAATGCTGGAACGAAACTTCGCCATAATTTACTGCTGGTAAAGGCTAAGTTGGGAAGAAGCATTGGAGTGAATCTGCATGCCTGATTTCAGTTATTATCCTCTTAGAATTTTGCAGAAGACCAGCGAGGCAGCCAACATGGCCAGCGAGGCTGCATTCGAGCCTAAGGAAGGTAGCATGGAAGTCGTCTACGTTGAAGACCCAGGCGGCGCCAAGATGAAACTGCAGCTCATCGACGGACAGTACTACCCCACATTTCCCACTGAGGTCATCAGGAATTTGCACTCTCTCAAAATCCGCGAGGATGATGTGGTTCTAGCCGGCTATCTTAAAACAGGTAAATTGTCACTAACACCGTTGTGTATCTTCTTCTTCTTCTTCTTCTTCTTCTTCTTCTTCTTCTTCTTCTTCTTCTTCTTCTTCTTCTTCTTCTTCTTCTTCTTCTTCTTCTTCTTCTTCTTCTTCTTCTTCTTCTTCTTCTTTTCTTCTTCTTCTTCTTCTTCTTCTTCTTCTTCTTCAGCATTCCGAGCTCTTGAGGTTCATTGCTGCAGATATCTCCAGCATCCATTCAACTCTCTGGTTGGCCTTCTCTTTCCAGTTGGTGACACCAAGTGTTTGCAGGTCTATCAGGTCATTATCTCTTCACCGTCAATTGTGATTTAAACAGATTATGAATTACGTTGTTGCTTCTCTCTCTCCATGCCCCGCTGTTTGTATTTTTGATGGGTCCAAAGATTCATCGTAAGACTGTGTTTTCGAAAACATGTACAACGTTGTGTATAATGTTTTAGAATACTTCGTCAATGGAACTAGTCAAATTAACATTATTCTAACGTGCAGTAAATTTGATTTCTTTCTTCTTGTTATAGTCTACGTCACGTGTCGTTGGTAGTGATGTATATCTATAGCATTCTATCTTGGAAACTTTCAGTCAGTTTTGATAAAGACGATCTTCCATGACATAATGTCAAACTGTGTAGCATCCTCTTTCTCTCTCTCTCTCTCTCTCTCTCTCTCTCTCTCTCTCTCTCTCTCTCTCTCTCTCTCTCTCTCTCTCTCTTTGTGTCTCCCTCTACTTCTTTCCATTTAAGCTTTCCCCACTGTCAGGATGTACTCGACTTTTCTCCTCCTTGTCACAAATAATGTAGATTATCTCCTTCTGATGTGGTCAGTCAGTTCTTTTCATGGGTCAGTTTTTTCCACATCTTCACTACACCTTTTATTTGTCCAGGTATTCTTATTATTCGCCTGTGCTGAGCTGATTACAGTTTCAAGAACCGACATCACAGCACTCGGGGCATTCCCATATGTGCTCAGTCTCCATCTTCATTGTTCATTTAAAGACAATCTTTATCGCTCAAAGACAAGACCATAAGTGTTGATCTCCGCCATCGTGTGTCTCGTAGCTTTTGTTTTTGTTTTTTGTTGTTGTTTTTGCTAACAACTCCCATTCTATACAGGTTGATGTAACGACGTATAGCGCCTGCATGGTTTTCCTGTCTGGCTTTTCCAGTTCGGTACACCAAGGGTATGCAGTCTATTCAGTGAAAATTCATTGTCCACGAAATTGAAAGTCTCCATCTTCAGCAACCCAAGAGACCTAACTTAGGGTACCGATGGCCGACTGAGCGCAGGGTGCCGGCCAGATCCCCTGATCACCATCCTTCCCCACTCCCCATTGCACCACTCTCTTCGGACCGTTCTTCTTCTTTGAGTTCGGTCTAATATGCTCGGGTCAGACATCAGGTGGGTTTCCTCTATGAACTCCCATCTCAGCTGCAGGTTTTTTCATGGTCTCTTATCGCTTACTCTGCACACTCTGCTCTCGTGGCCAGGTTTCATTTTGAAGTCGTAGGTACAGTGGGCAGGTCTGCAGTATGTGCTTAGTCCGCAACTTCAGCAGCTATCAGCTCGGATGGTACCAATAGCCGACTGACATGAGACGGATATACAATCAAACGGTTACTGACATCATCGGAATTGGAACTTTTCGCTTAGTACTGAAGGTGGGGACTGAGCACACATGGTAGTGTCCCGAGTGCTGTAATATAAATTCTTAATTCAACATTCAATTCAACATTCTACCCGACTGACTGCATTTCTGTCCCACCTTTCCTGAGTGTAGAGTGCCTTGTCACCACACCCCCACCCCCGGTTTCACCAATCTTTTCAGATTGTTCTAATCCAGTTGTGCCTTTTCACTGTTCACTCGCAACCGAAGGCAACATTTGGCTTGTCATACCTCAGGTGAACACTGAGTATTGAAGAAACAGCCAGTCTGTCTGCCTATTAATTTCTCAACACACCTGCATACCCTGGAGAAAATACCCAAAAGAATCATTCCTCTGTAAAACGACACATTAGCATTTCTGTGTTTTCAATAGTAATTTTTTTTTCTCTGCGATGCTATTCAGTCGAGGCAGTAAGAAACCCGAAGAAGAAGAAGTTTTTACGCTGTGGACGAGCCCTGTTGAGTGTCACGTCATTTGTGTGAATTACCTTTTGGTGTCCTAACTCTGTGCTTCTTTCGTCTTGTAAATCCACCATTATTATTTCATCTTCTCAGGCACTCACTGGGTTTGGGAAATCCTTCGCATGCTTCTCGCTGGATCCACGGAAGTATCAGACGCAGAGAAAGACCAAGGCATGATAGAACAAACCGAGCAGAGTGTCCTAGATGCCATGCCGTCTCCTCGGGTATTGAACACGCATGTCCACTTGGAGAAGCTGCCCGCTGAAGTGTTCAGTAAGAAGCCGAAGATTGTGTACTTGACCAGAAATCCCAAGGACGTGGCGGTTTCCCTGTATCACCATCATAAGAAGCTTCAGGATTACTACTGTTACGATGGGACTTTTGAGAATTACCTGCATTTGTTCGTGGAGGGGAAAGGTATGTGAGCAATGTTGTCATACCTCTTCCCTTGTGTTTGTAGAGAGAAAAGGTATGTGAGCAATGTTGTCATACCTCTTCCCTTGTGTTTGTAGAGAGGAAAGGTATGTGAGCAATGTTGTCAAATGACTTCCCTTGTGTTCCTGAAGGGGAAAGGTATGTGAACAAGGTGTCAAACGACTTCCCTTGTGTTCGTGAAGGGGAAAGGTATGTGAGCAATGTTGTCATACCTCTTCCCTTGTGTTTGTAGAGGGGAAAGGTATTTGAGCAATGTTGTCATATGACTTCCCTTGTGTTCGTCAAAGAGAAAGGGTTGTAAGCAGTGTAGTCACATGACTTCCCTTGTGTTCGTGAGGGGGAAAGGTATGTAAGCAATGTTATCATACCTCTTCCCTTGTGTTTGTAGAAAGAAAAGGTATGTGAGCAATGTTCTTATATGACTTCATTTGTGTTCGTGAAGGGGAAAAGTATGTGAGCAATGTTGTCATATGACTTTCCTTGTGTTCGTGAAGGGGAAAGGTATGTGAGCAATGTTGTCATATGATTTCCCTTGTGTTCGTGAAGGGGAAGGGTATGTGAGCAATGTTATCATACCTCTGCCCTTTTATTTGTAGAGAGGAAAGGTATGCGAGCAATGTTGTCATATGACTTCCCTTGTGTTCGTAAAGGGGAAAGGTATGTAAGCAATGTTGTCATATGACTTCCCTTGTGTTCGTGAAGGGGAAGAGTATTTGAGCAATGGTGTCAGATGACTTCCCTTGTGTTCGTGAAGAAAAAAGGTATGTAAGGAATGTTTTTATAACTCTTCCCTTGTGTTTGTAGAGAGGAAAGGTATGTAAGCAATGTTGTCATATGACTTCCCTTGTGTTCGTAAAGGGGAAAGGTATGTGAGCAATGTTTTCATATGACTTCCCTTGTGTTCGTGAAGGGGAAAGTTATGTGAACAAGGTGTCATATGACTTCCCTTGTGTTCATGAAGGGGAAAGGTATATGAGCAATGTAGTCATACCTCTTTCCTTGTGGTTGAAGAGAGGAAAGATATGTGAGCAATGTTGTCATATGACTTCCCTTGTGTTCTTGAAGGGGAAAGGTATGTAAGCAGTGTTTTCATATGACTTCCCTTTTGTTCGTGAAGAGGAATGGTATGTGACTAATGTTGTCATATGACTTCCCTGGTGTTCGTGAAATGGAAGGTATGTGAGTAATGTTTTCATATGACGTCCCTTGTGTTCGTGAAGGGGAAAGGTATGTGAGCAATGTGGTCATACCTCTTCCCTTGTGTTTGTAGAGAGGAAAAGTATGTGAGCAATGTTGTCATATGACTTCCCTTGTGTTTGTAGAGAGGAAAGGTATGTGACTAATATTGTCATATAACTTCCATGTCTTCGTGAAGGGGAAAGGTATGTGAGCAATGTTGTCATATGATTCCCCTTGTGTTCGTGAAGGGGAAGGGTATGTGAGCAATGTTATCATACCTCTGCCCTTTTATTTGTAGAGAGGAAAGGTATGCGAGCAATGTTGTCACATGACTTCCCTTGTGTTCGTGAAGGGGAAAGGTATGTGAGCAATGTTGTCATATGACTTCCCTTGTGTTCGAGAAGGGGAAAGGTATGTGAGCAATGTTTTCATATGACTTCCCTTGTGTTCGTGAAGGGGAAAGGTATTTGAGCAATGGTGTCAGGTGACTTCTCTTGTGTCCGTGAAGAGAAAAGGTATGTAAGCAATGTTTTCATAACTCTTCCCTTGTGTTTGTAGAGAGGAAAGGTATGTAAGCAATGTTGTCATATGACTTCCCTTGTGTTCGTGAAGGGGATAGGTATGTGAGCAATGATTTCATATGACTTCCCTTGTGTTCTTGAAGGGGAAAGGTATGTGAGCAATGTTTTTATACCTCTGCCCTTGTGTTTGTAGAGAGGAAAGGTATGGGAGCAATGTTGACATATGACTTTGCTTGTGTTCATGAAGCTGAAAAGTATGTGAGCAATGTTGTCATATGACTTCCCTTGTGTTCGTGAAGGGGAAAGGTATGTGAGCAATGTTGTCATATGACTTCCCTTGTGTTCGTGAAGGGGAAAGGTATGTGAGCAATGTTGTCATACGACTTCCCTTGTGTTCGTGAAGGGGAAAGGTAAAAGAGCAATGTTGTCATACGACTTCCTGTGTAGGTGTGTGAGGGATGTGTGTGTGTGGTGGTATATAGGTTGTGTGTATATGTAGAATGTAGTGTGTTGTTTGGAAGCCGCCGTGATGTAGCGGTTCTACGCTGACCTTCGTCTCCGAAGGTAGAGGGTTCATGTCCTAACGGATCTGGTCTATTTTTTCCTTCTTCAAAAATTTCCTTGGCGACCCACTTTGATTAAATGTGTAGTGGGTAAAGTCCTGAAAAGTAAAAGTGATTAGCCTATAAGTATAGGTCTAGCCCAGTATGCTCAAAACGCATGAAGACACAGACAATCGTCTTTTTTTTCTTTTCAAGTGTGTTGTTCATTGTGTTGCAGTGTGGTATGTACTAAAGTGGTGTCTTTGTGAGTTGTATGGTAGTGTGTTTTGTTGTGCATATTTATGTTGTGTTGTTGTTATATGTGGGGTAAGTATTGTGTTTGTGTGTGTGTGTGTGTGTGTGTGTGTGTGTGTGTGTGTGTGTGTGTAGGTTTGTGGTCGTTTTCTGTCTTTGAATATAACTTGGAACTGGTTCTGTGCCGATCTTTGCTCTTATGACATTATTTCTGATTATAGAGGTTTAAGGTTTTGAACAACAGATCAACATCCTGGCACACGGGTAGTAACCCATAAGTGCTCCGTTCTTCTTTTAACTCAAGTCTGAGTCCGAAGAAGCTCAGCACAGTGCACAGGCTCTGTAGCACCGGTGAAAATCCTGAAATACTTTGGGTAGATTTTTAACTCCAAATTTTTCCCGGGCAGCACGGTTGGCTACTCTTTTCTGATTTCCAACTGCCAAGGGATTTTTTAAGTGCGCAACAATACACACGGGCGTTTGATCTCACTACCCAGAGACTAGGGGGAATTACTTAAAGTCTACGGGAAAAGATCCCAGCCCTCACCGAGGATTGAACCCGGAACCTCTAGCACTCGAGGCGGACACCATGCTCTGAGACCAAGCAGCTCCCACTTTGCTATAGAATGCTATGCTATAGAAATGCTATAGATGCATCTTACTATTTCTGATTATATCACCTCTGATCAATCCTCAAGACCTTCTGAGATATTTCCTTGGTTACAAATGTTTTTTTCTGGTTTGTTGTGAGTGATTATATCTGACACTGGTAGCATAGGGTTGGAACGAATATGCCTTGTATGAGATGTTTCTTTTGTGCTGATTGGGATTGTCTTGTGTTGTAAGAGAAGGGCTAACTGTCCGAATACTTGGTTATCTTGACTGAATCAAATGTTAATGTCTTCAAATAAATCACCATCTTCAGCGAATGCTACCCCCACATATTTAAACTTAGATGCCCGTTTAATGCCTTTGCACTATACTGCTATACTTAGGTTCTGATGCTTGCTTCCTAGTGACATGACTTTTGTCTTTTCAGTATTGATTCTAAGACTGTCTTTGCTTCACATTTATTCTAATAGTGGATTACGGCTCGTGGTTCAAGCACATCAAGAACTGGAGCGTGGCAGCCAGACAGTCGGACCTGATGGTTCTGGAGGTCAACTATGAGGATATGTCTAAGGTGTGTTCCCAGTTCAACACAGCTTGTGTCTTGGCTTTCTTCTGCCTTTAATGTTTCAGCACTTTATTAATATCCTACCCTAGATGACGTCATAGGACAGTCCAATATTTTAGAGGGTGGTAAAACTGGGTTTTCCGGCTTTCTAAAGCTTTTAACGACCCCAGAACACCTACCCCACGAGAGAGTGCAGCCTAGGTCCCACGACTGCATGTAGCCTATCTACAAGCCCCTGAAATATTAGACTGTTCTTTAACCTGTGGATTTCCCCTGTTTGGGGTAGGATATTAATAAATCGCCTATGTTTCATGACAACAAAAAGACCAGCCCTGACTTAACAGGCATTAAGGGTTTGCTGAGAACTGATGTGTAGGGGTGAAAGCCATGACAAACTTCCAAGTATTCCTTTCCTGCCCAACAATATATAACAAGAAGAACTCCACAGTGGCAGCATGCACAGCAGGAGTCTACCGATCATCAGTAGGTGGGTCCCTCCTTCAACAATTGTTTCAGACCGTTATCATCCCAGACTATCTCAGAGGGTGAGCGGAGCTGGGTCATGACTCCCAGGCCCCGGACTTCTCCAGCTGCTGTTTATGGGACACTTGGACAAATGGTAATAGTGATTTTTTAACAGGTACTGAGTTTATGGTGTTATATATTGTTGCTGCAGTAGCAAACTGAGAGCCTACCTGCACGACCAGAGTGACAAATGGACGGTTGGTTTATCGGACAGACATTTATGGGACAGACTTTGGCAGTTGGCAGAGTGACACTGGCAGACTTTGATCGGACACTTTAGGTTTTAGGGATGCAAAGTTATTTTTCCACTAGCGCCTCGGAATAGTCTACCGAGGCCTATCGCCCACATCGTTAGGTTGCATCCACAGCCAGCTCGAAGCTCTTTTCGCAGCTTCACCCAGATGTTTAAGTTCCTGTTTGCACTCGTTTCCTCGCAAGCCCAGCTGCTTTAGTACATTGTGGAGGTGGAGATTAGCGCTTTTGTGCCTACCTCGACTGCGAAGTGTTTGAGTACCCCTCATCCCCCCTTCAGATTGGTCACAAGGTCGCTGTATTTTTCGAGCCCATACAGGTCGTTCTTTTTGATCTGTGACTCGTAGGACGCGCTGCTCTCTATCAGTATGCGACTTTTATGAAACTACCTTCAGAAATATCCTCAGCCTTGATGAAGCGTATGGGAGGGAAGTTAGGACTGGCCCTCGCGTTGGCCCTCATCCTGGCTTTATCTACAATGTCGGCCAGCTCTTTCAGGACCTTACCGTCTGCCAGTGTGTCTCTGAGTGTCTGTCTGTCTCTGTGTGTGTCTGATTGTCTCTATCTGTCTGTCTCTGTGTGTCTGTCTCTGTGTGTCTGTCTCTGTGTGTCTGTCTCTCTGTCTCTGTGTGTCTATCTGTCTGTTTGTTTGTCTCTATCTGTTTGTCGCTTGGACTCTGCAAATATTGAAAAAGCATCTTACAATCTTGCAGAACCCAACAGAACAGATACAAAGGATGGCTGCGTTTCTGGATTTGAATCCTTCTGATGATCTAATTAACAGCATCAAAAGTGAATGCTCACTGGACCGCATGCGTGATAAAAAGGGGAAATACGACTTAGATGCAGAAGGGAAATCCATCATGTACAGAAAAGGTAAGCCTTTCATGGTTGATGGTGAGAGGTTTCACGATCATTAGAATCCACATCAGTGCACCGTGGTCTATCTCTGCAACACGGCTCATAGCATCATAAAAAGCATAAATTATGTTCCTCCAGTGACGACCCCTAAAGATCTCCATTAGATTTTACACTTTTGTCTTTTCTTCTTCTTCCTCTTCTTCCTCTTCTGCTTGTCTTCTTCTTCTTCTTCTTCTTCTTCTTCTTCTTCTTTTCTTCTTCTTCTTCTTCTTCTTCTTCTTCTTCTTCTTCTTCTTCTTCTTCTTCTTCTTCTTTTCTCTTCTTTCTTCTTCTTCTTCTTCTTCTTCTTCTTCTTCTTCTTCTTCTTCTTCTTCTTCTTCTTCTTCTTCTTCTTCTTCTTCTTCTTCTTCTTCTTCTTCTTCTTCTTCTTCTTCTTCTTTTTCCTTGTCTACTTTTTCTTCTTCTTTTTAAATCTTCTTTTTATTTCTTCTTCTTCTTCTTCTTCTTCTTCTTCTTCTTCTTCTTCTTCTTCTTCTTCTTCTTCTTCTTCTTCTTCTTCTTCTTCTTCTTCTTCTTCTTCTTCTTCTTCTTCTTCTTCTTTTTCTGCTTCTTCTTCTTTTTTTTTCTTTCTTTTTTTTTCTTCGTCTTCTTCGGTCCTCTATCAGAAAACATATCAAGAGGTCGGTAGCCTTTATGAAAGCTATCGTGCAGTCCACATCTTCTCGTGTACCATACAGTTTTGTCTTCATGTAACAGGCCAATCTGCGTCTCTGTTGTCAGCATACAGTAGACAGTGTTTTAGCACATGCTCAGCATGTTCTTATTCTTTATATATTTTTCTATATTGAAAGAAAAACAAAGCAAAATTACATTATTATTAAAACGTAGTCAGTATGAGCAATTCCAGAAAAAGACTTGCAGACTTGCAGAGAACGCAGACAGGTATATAGCTGCAAAGAAAACTAAAAATTGTCAATGAAGCAGGCACTGGTGCATCGAAGAAGACAATGGCAAAATAGTGACTTAACCCACCAAGAGATGAAAACATAATACAATCTAGTGTCCAAGAAAGGTGTCTGGAAACACACACCAGATTATCTCCCCAAAACTCGCTTCATCGCCTCTCTTGTGAGAGAGAGTGTTATATTCAGACTAAGGACTGGGCACAACATGACTCAACATATGTTCAAATTTGTCAGTGGCACCCGAAAATGCTGAGAATGTGCTCCAACACTGTCAATTGTATGCTGACAACAGAGACGCAATCTAGCCTGTTCCAACCACAATGAAGACGGCTGTGTGGTACACGAGAGGATATGGACTACACAATAGCTTTTATAAAGGCTACCGGCCTTGTGATGTAAGTTTTATGAGAGAAGGATCGAAGAAGAAGAAGCTAAACAGTACATAACTGAGTTAGGCTTGTGACTAACTATTGCATTGTATGTCCATCATAAACGTTACCCCCCCCCCCTATCCCCCCCCCCCCCCCCCCCCCCCCCCCCCCCCCACTAGATTTGAAACCTTATGTTTAGGTTTTAAATCTTGATGTTTCGCTGATGTAACTACTAAATATATTCCCACAGGTCAAGTTGGAGACTGGAAGAATTATTTCAACGATACTACCAATTCCTGGTTTGATGCTGTTTATCAAAAAGAGATGGCCGCTATAGAAACGACTTTTCACTGGGCGTTTGAACTAGAATGAACCTCCTTATCATCATCATGTGTCCTTCAGACTTTAACTGTAATGAAGCAGTTGCAGGAATTACTGCAGGAAACCTTATGTACATAATTAATGACAGGTGGTACATTATCATTGGCTGAGATGGGGAACACTGACGATTAAAAAGTTAAACACGATGTCTCAAGGCCAAATGCAATCCACAGGTTAATAGAGAATTCTAGCAATTGATAGCATTATGTAAATTAAGTGAGGGATTAACAAAGGTTTAACTGAACAACTCGTATGCTTGTGTGTGAGATGACATGCATTAACTTTACAGCACTCCGGAGCTGCTCACATTCTCTAGTCATCATATATAAATCAGCATCCCGCAGTTAATATTGTCAGTTCTATGCTGGTTAACAAGACTTCTTGTACGTTCAGTGTGCCTCTCATGCTTGACTGTGCCGATATTTACTCACGATTATGGTTTTTTTTTTTTTTTACTGTGATGGGGACACGGTGCTCCCAAAATCCTACAATCGTCCTGAAATACAAAACAATTGTGTGCCATCCAATGCAAAAGGTGTAGGTTGCTGTTCTCTGGAATTGTGCTTTTACACGATACTGCTCGATCTCACGTCGCAGAATGAACTGTTAAATTTTTGTAAAAATGTCACTGGGAATTGTTGACTATCCGCCCTACAGTCAGAATCTGGCACCAAGTGAACACCACTTTTTCATGCACCTAAAGAAGAGGCTAGCATCCCAGGGGTTTGAAACTGAGGATGAACTGCCGACAGGTAATTATTGGTTTAAGACACTGGTGGCAGACTTCTATGACACTGGAATTAAGAACCTGGTGCCATAATACCAAAAATGTGTTGAAGTCAGTGGTGACTATGTTGAGAAATAATGTAAATGTGTGTTTCAATTTCAGCTGCAATAAATCATTTTTTTTTTACTTTTGTGTGTGTGTTTTTTCTTTAACACCAAGACTTACTTAAAGAATTATAGAAATAAGGGACTTATTATTTTAAAACCAAAACGTTTTGAAAGAATAAAACAATTAATTTTGTCCAAAATGTTAATGCTAAATATGTTTTTGGTTATACTGTTATCTGCATAGTAATTTATTTTTTCATAAACTGTTAGTTGAACATTATTTTTCAATTCATTCACATTATCATTTTTCCCCAACAAACTGTGAGAGCATAACATGTTTTACAGTTATAACTGTACTAACATTTTGTTTTCAAATTTTTTATTGGGGGGGGGGGGGGGGGGAGGGGGGGAGTATTTAGAAGGAAGGTTATATCTCTCTCTCTCTCTCTCTCTATATATATATATATATATATATATATATATATATACACATATATATATATATATATATATATCTATATATATATATATATATATATATATATATATATATATATATATATATATATATATATATATATATATATATATAATTTTGAAACTGCTTTTTTTGCTTTTTTTTTTTCATTATTTTTGCATTATAATTTTTTTTTCTTACAAACTGAAAATGTTACATGTTGTCCAGTTGTATTTACTTTATAATTTTTTTTTTTTTTCACATACTGTTAGATTTACATTTTCTAGCTATCTTTGCCTTATAATTAACTTTATTCACAGGCTGTCAATTGAACTCTTTTTTTTTATATATCTGCAAACTAAAGCAAACCTATTGTTACTTTTTGTTTGTTATATGTCTCTTAAAATGTATTATTTCACAATTAGTTGGCGATGCATTTCTTCGTTTTTTTTACATTGTAATTCATTTTTTATCTAGTGTTATAATTAAGTGATTTTTAGAATTATTCTCTCCTTTGGAATGAACAAAGCCGGCTAAGAGGGCGACCATGTTGCAGGGGGCAACATATAGTTTACAATACCACACAGGTTTTGTACTGTGGAGAAAAGGAATGATACTCTGGAGTTAACTGATCTTGGAATCATAACATGAGCCCGTCTTGCTTATCACTCATGATAAGTCTGTGGTTTCCATCCCTTCCAATAGCACAGTATAGCACTAATCATCATTATCATCAATTTCCACTTCTACCGTCAAGCGTTGTGGGGAGGAGCATTTTGTGTTTCATTACTTGGCGGGCAGCAATGGCTATTGTCATTCGGTGTCGATGTAGAAGCTCTTTAATGTCATCAATCCATCTTCTCCTAGGGCAGCCTCTTGGTGTCACTTCAGATTTGTTCATGTGTAACACTTGTGTTGATCGTTGTTCTGGCTGCATTCTTACTAAATGACCAAACAATTTAATCTTTTGCTCCTCAGTGAATTTGCTGCATTGTGTTGTTCCTACAGTCTGATAATATCAATTCTAACTTTGTCTCGGATATGTAAGTTGGCGTCTTTTCTCAGCCATCTCTTTTTGCAGGTGTTAATTTTAGGTAGGCTCCTTCAATAACGTTCAAGTCTGGCACTGGTAGCACAGTGTTGGTATGAATATGACAATATTGCACTATTGTCCCGAAGGACGAAGGGCTGCCATTGATATGACTTTTCCAGTTCTAGAATTCACTAGTCTACAGACGGCGCCGGTCTACAGACGGTACCTGTCTACAGACGGCACCGGTCTACAGACGGCACCGATCTACAGACAGCACCGGTCTACAGACGGCACCGGTCTACAGACGGCACCAGTCTACAGACGGCACCGGTCTACAGACGGCACCGATCTTCAGACGGCACAGGTCTACAGACGGCACAGGTCTACAGACGGCACTGGTCTTCAGACGGCACATGTCTACTGACGGCACCGATCTACAAACGGCACTGGTTCACAGACGGCACTGGTCTAAAGCCGGCACCTGTCTACAGCCAGCACCGGTCTCAAGCCGGCACCGGCCTACAGACGGCTGCGCTCTACAGACAGCACAGGTCTACGGACGGCACTGGTCTACAAACGTCACTGGTCTAAAGCCGGCACAGGTCTACAGACGTCACTGGTCTAAAGCCGGCACAGGTCTACAGACGGCACCGGTCTACAGACGGCACCGGTCTACAGACGGCACAGGTCTACAGACGGCACAGGTCTACAGACGGCACAGGTCTACAGACGGCACAGGTCTACAGACGGCACAGGTCTACAGACCGCACCGATCTACAAACGGCACTGGTTCACAGACGGCACTGGTCTAAAGCCAGCACCTGTCTACAGCCAGCACCGGTCTCAAGCCGGCACTGGTCTACAGAGGGCTTCGCTCTACATACAGCACAGGTCTAAAACCGGCACCGGTCTACAGACGTCACTGGTCTAAAGCCGGCACCGGTCTACAGACGGCACTGGTCTAAAGCCGGCACCGGTCTACAGACGGCACTGGTCTGAAGCTGGCACCGCTCTACAGACAAGAGGTCGAAGAAAATTTTGGTTACCTACCTTTTACAAAACGTTGCAGGCCCAGCTGGCTGTTTGTAATTTTACTAGACAGTCTTACATTCAGTAGTTTGCTATTGATTTCTGAATAACAGCTTTTATACCATTGTCCAGTTCATCATAAAGAGGTTAGCTAGCAGACCAGGTATCTGAGCATTACAAGCCACGCTCGCAACTCCTAAGCTATAGATTTTAACAATTGTTATACTGTCTTTATGCATCTAGGTTATACCTCATGGATCGTTGTGTGTCCCAGGTGAATAATGGCACACGGGTGTAACCTATAAGTGATCTGTTCTACTTCTAACTCAAGCGTGAGTCTGATGGAAGTCAGCGCAGTACACGAACTCTTTTGCACTAGCGAGGATCCTGAAATACTGTGGGTAGATTTTGAACTCAAAATTTTGCCCGGGCGGTGCCGTTAGGCTATACTAATGTCCCGGCTATATTCATGGCGCCCGGCAAAAGCCAGGGTGGGGCTTCAAATAACGAAAAATGCATCCCACATGGGGACAACTTGTACAAAGTTATGGTAGTTATGTAAATAGTTGTACCCCACCAGGACATCACACAAGCGACAAACACCAGGTGACACAAAGTGCCACCATGGGGATTAGGATAACCCGTGGAGAGTTCCCAGAAACCTCTTTCATTTTTTTTAGGGTGGGGGGGGGGGGGGAATTATACAGATATTTTTGTAACATAATTCTGTAATAATTATTTTGCCTGTTCTACTTCTGTCCATACTTGAAACAATACCTAAGGGAAAGAAAAGCTGCAGCACATATCAAAATGTTACACAGAAAAGTTAACAAAACGTAGGGTTACATTCTTAAGAAATATGCAACAAACTAGCACTGATATATTTTTGTGTCCACGCCTCTAGAATATATGGTAGCTTCCCCCCCCCCCCCTGCCCCTTGAGTATATTGCAAGACACCCTGCCCACTAACACCACCCCCCCCCCCCCCCCCCCAAAACATAACAAAATGTGATTAAAAAGAGCAGGACAACAGATTCTGCAACAAGGACACAAACCACAGAGAAACGTTTTGTTGAAAATGTGATCTTAATCTTCAGTTAAATGCGCGTGTTATGGTAGCAATTATATTTTATCGGTAGATGTGCATACTGCTCATGGAAACAAATATGTCTTTGTTTTGATTGATAACAACTCCAAAAAAAAAATGTATGTATAACGTATTATTACTATATTTTTACGGTCCACATTTGAGGAAAATTGAACATTTAACAACTCTCAGTAACAAAAACTTGCCACCACTAAAACAGTAAGCCTGTCTAAACGCCATATTGATCAGAAACGATAATGTTCACATCGGGTTTGGCAGATTGGTATATTTAGGACCGTACGGTCATATGAACGTAGAATCTCATTTTGAACAGAGAAAGGCAGAAGCCAACATTGTCGTTACCACCGTAGCTGTACTGGTTTTATTTTCAACCCTCTGTGATAGACATCCGTTGACTGAAATAAAACTTAATCCATGCTACCCTTAGTCACTGGGCACAAAGACTTCCGGAAAAGTTTGTGTGTATTTCAAAGTGTTTATGTGTGCCTTTAAGTCATGTTTATGCATGACTGTGTATATTGCATGTGTG